CCTGTGTTATTCTCTTGTTAAACAAAGTGAGAATACACTGGACTTCATCTTTACTAACAGTGATGATCTGATATGAAATATTACCATATCAAAAACATTATACTCAGACCAGAACATAATAGTTTCAGACATGTATGCGTGGGTCCCCAGACCAACAAAATGTGATAAGTCACGAGGGAGCCTTCACCAAATAAACCAGGTCCTAAATGATATAAACTGGGAGGATAGCCTAAGCAACACGGATCCAAACCTATGTCTAGAACAAATTAGCTTTGTGGCACTTGAGGTATGCTCAAGGCATATTCATTTAAGGAAAAGGAGGAGAAGATGTAAACTAGAAAGAGAAAGGCGCTCCCTATACAGGCGAAGGCAAAGAATATCAGAGTGGCTAAAAAAGGCCAATATATCTATAATACTTAGGAAGACACTGGTTAGAGAAATAGCAAACATCAAACTAAAGCTAAAGGAATCTTACAGGAGTCAGGAAATGCGGGAAGAACTAAATGCCATAAATGAAATTGAAAGAAACCCAAAATATTTCTTTTCTTATGACAGATGAAAGTCAAGAACAACATCCAGTATTGGGCTCTACTTAAACTGTCCAAACGTAGATCAATGTTCACCTGCGTGGCACTCCGAATATTTTGAAAAATAAAATAATCATTTTTTGTATTTAAATTAAAGAGGGGTATTTTCTGTGTGGTATAAAACCAAAAAAAAATTTTAGGACCAGTACTTACCGAGATATAAGACCCTGAAGTTGGCTCTGGATGCTCACCAAATGGCAACATCCAATTCTGATGCTTGCAGAAGTATTGCCGATTTACCTTTTTTTCTCGTTTTTATTTTAATTTATATAATTTTATGTTGAAAGAAATTACAATTTATAATAACGTGATTTCATAGCCAATCTTTGTTCTGACACTAATATTATGTACTGAAATAGTACTCAAATTGCAACAATCATACTGACAGGTGAACATTTTTGCTTGCCCTGGTCATTTACTATTGTCTAGAAATGTTTTAGACATGCTAGAGTATGAACCTCTTTGAAGCATGGTGTTATGACAAGGGTCAGATAAGTGACATTTGATGAATGTGCTCTGCTGGAGGGAACCTTGCCTTTATATGTTTTTACTCTTGCACACAAACATGTCTTTGTATATGTCTGTCAATCTGTTTGCTTATTTGTCTGCCTGTCTATCTGTACATCTATCTGTCTGTCTGCCTAGTTCTGCTTATTTGTCTGTCCAGTTCAGCTTATCTGTCTTTCTGTCTTCTGTGTGTGCCTGGAGTGTAATATGAGCTCCTTGAATAATGGTGTTATGGCAGTGTCAGATAACAGTGACATTTGATGAATGTGCGCTGCTGGAGGAGGGAACCTTGCCTTTATATGTTTTTACTCTTGCACACAAACATGTCTCTGTATGTCTGTCTGTCAGTCTGTCTATCTGTACATCTGTCTGTACATCTGTCTGTCTACATCTATCTCTACATCTCTCTGTCTATCTGTACATCTATCTGTCTGTCTGCCTAGCTCTGCTTATCTGTCTAGTTCTGCTTATCTGTCTTTCTGTCTGCCTGTGTGTCTGTCTTTACATCTGCTTGTCTCTGTCTCAGGGAGCGGTTAGTAAACCTCTTGGTTTGTGGTGTATGGGCGCCCCCTGATTGCTGAGCAAGTGACACTGCTATTACTTGCGTCATGTTTATTTATGTCTTATATCTACAAACACTGTATAGCACTTGGCCTGGAATTTTTGGGTTATCCTAGGTAAATTACATTATGTATAATTGTATTGATGAGTACATGTGAGAGACAGAGATATAGACAGATAGAGGTATAGACAGAGATATAGACAGATACAGATAGAGACAGCCAAAGCCAGCCAGCTAGCCAGCCGAATGCATAAGAACATAATAAAGAAGGAACACTGCAGCAGGCCTACTGGCCCATGCAAAGCAGGTCCATGTCACCTCCTGGCTTAGACCAATGACCCACCTAGTCAGGTCACATCCACTGAAAGAAGGAGCACAACTTCTGACATCTGATCGACCAGGAGGCCTGGTCACTGACCGGGCCGCGGGGGCGTTGACCCCCGGAACTCTCTCCAGGTACACTCCAGGTACTTCAGGTAGCACAAGCTAGTCAGGTCCAACTCACACCCACCCACACCCACTCATGCATTTATCTAACCTATTTTTACTTTCCTCTTAAAATGTAAGTGTTAGTATGACATGACATCAGTGAATCCTTGGTGTTTGCCATGATATTTGCTCTAGCTGGCGCTCAGTTGAACGGTGCTCCCAGAAGGTACTAAGTGCTCCCAGACTTTTTTCATAGTGTGCACACTGAGTGCACAGACCCATTCTTTCATGTCTAGGCGACTCAGGTCTATTGTACCAAATTTGAAGGAATGAAAAATAAAACATAGATCTACGTTCGGAGCATGCTGCACGTCAACGTATATCTACGTGTGGACAGTTTAAGGGTTAAATGAGACGGATCCTAACAGATGACAGCAAGGAATGAGTGAGCTACTCGAGTCCCAGTATGACTCGGTTTTTAGTGAGCTGCTAACCAGAGTGAGAATTGAAGACCTAAATGAATATTTTATTAGAGACAGAATTTGGTAGACTCGAACCTGTCTGATATTATCATGATGCCAAATGACTTTGAAAAGGCGATAAATGACATGCCCATGCACTCTGCCCCAGGCCCAGACTCGTGGAACTCTGTGTTCATCAAGAACTGCCGGAAGCCCCTATCATGTGCTTTTAACATTCTATGGAAAGGGAGCATGGACACAGAGGTCGTCTCACAGCTGCTAAAAACAACAGACATAGCCCCACTCCACAAAGGGGGCAGTAAAGCAATAGCAAAGAACTACAGACCGATAGTGCTAACGTCCCATATCATAAAGATATTTGAAAGGGTTCTAAGAAGCAAGATTGCCACCCATCTAGATACCCATCAGTTACACATCCCAGGGCAACATGGGTTTAGAGCAGGTCGCTCCTATCTGTTCCAACTACTGGACCACTATGACAAGGTCCTGGATGCTCTAGAAGACAAGCAAAATGCAGATGTAGTATACACAGACTTTGCAAAAGCCTTTGACAAGTATGACCATGGTGTAATAATTTCCTAACAAATAGAACACAAAGAGTAGTAGTAAATAGAGTAAAATCTGAGGCAGCTACTGTGAAAAGCTACATTCCAGGAGTTGCAATGTCTGACAGGATTGTAGATCATAGCATATAAACATAGCATGTTTATATGCTATGTAATGTGTTTGTTATATAATTTTGAAGAAAATATCATAGATTAATGAAAATGTCTATATTGACAAAAAATAAGACATTTACTGTGCCCAAGAGTGATTATTATTACGTAAGACTAGGGAATTGACACAGTTACTTTTTGCTGATGATACTGTGCTTATGGGAGATTCTAAAGAAAAATTACAAAGGTTAGTGGATGAGTTTGAGAATGTGTGTAAAGGTAGAAAGTTGAAAGTGAACATAGAAAAGAGTAAGGTGATGAGGGTATCAAATGATTTAGATAAAGAAAAATGGATATCAAATTGGGGAGGAGGAGTATGGAAGAAGTGAATGTTTTCAGATACTTGGGAGTTGACGTGCGGCGGATGGATTTATGAAGGATGAGGTTAATCATAGAATTGATGAGGGAAAAAAAGTGAGTGGTGCGTTGAGGTATATGTGGAGTCAAAAAACGTTATCTATGGAGGCAAAGAAGGGAATGTATGAAAGTATAGTAGTAACCAACACTCTTATATGGATGTGAAGCTTGGGTGGTAAATGCAGCAGCGAGGAGACGGTTGGAGGCAGTGGAGATGTCCTGTCTAAGGGCAATGTTGGGTAAATATTTATGCAGAAAATTCGGAGTGTGGAAATTAGGAGAAGGTGTGGAGTTAATAAAAGCATTAGTTCAGGGCAGAAGAGGGGTTGTTGAGGTGGTTTGGTCATTTAGAGAGAATGGATCAAAGTAGAATGACATGGAAAGCATATAAATCTATAGGGAAGGAAAGAGGGGTAGGGGTCGTCCTCGAAAGGGTTGGAAAGAGGGGTAAAGGAGGTTTTGTGGGTGAGGGGCTTGGACTTCCAGCAAGCGTGCGTGAGCGTGTTAGATAGGAGTGAATGGAGACGAATGATACTTGGGACCTGACGATCTGTTGGAGTGTGAGCAGGTAATATTTTAGTGAAGGGATTCAGGAAACCGGTTTATTTCATATAGTCGGACCCTTGAGTCCTGGGAAAAGGGAAGTACAATGCCTGCCTTTAAAGAGGGTTGGATATTGCAGTTTGGAGGGATATGTTGTGTATCTCTATACATATATGCTTCTAAACTGTTGTATTCTGAGCACCTCTGCAAAAGCAGTGATAATGTGTGAGTGTGGTGAAAGTGTTGAATGATGATGAAAGTATTTTCTTTTTGGGGATTTTCTTTCTTTTTTTTGGGTCACCCTGCCTCGGTGGGAGACGGCCGACTTGTTGAAAAAAAAAAAAAGAAAAAAAAAAAAAAAAAAAGACTAGAACAGCACTCTTAGTGATTTTAATGTGTACCTGCACGCCAGCACAGTATGTAAGTATATTTAAGTACAGGTACACAAATAGTATTATCAGAACACATATAAAATATGCAATAACTTTAAAACACTTGAAATTTTGGAAAGTTTCCAGACATAATAGAGATGTGCTCACGGAAAATGTAAACAAACCGGGTGGCGCATGCTGTATTAGAAAGACAGATTGCCGTATAGTGAGTTTTGGTCATAATTTGAAATTGCCATATTAGCAGAATGCCGTAAGGCAAAACGTCATAAAGTAGGACCCTACTGTATATTAAGGTTTTGATGGACCATCATGTATTAAGCCAAAGGAAGCACAAAATTTGAATTAATGAAATAATTATCAATAATGATTTGTACACATTATAAATGAATTTCAGTAAACATTACTCAAAACTCTTTTCTTTACAGAATGGGGATCTAGAACATCCCATACTGTTTACCAAGATGCGCTGCTTTTTAAATCTCTCACCAACCAAATTCAAGGATATCGACCAGCAAAACAGGTCAGCATCCTCCACTTCCTCAGCATTTACCGTTTTATTCTACCCATAACTAAAATTAACTGCCAATTAAATCTCCTGCTGTAGACAGTGTTTAATAGGTTTCTTAGTATACTGTGAGAGGAGTACTGGGGACCGAACCAGCAGCCTCACATTTGAAAGACCTTACAGAAGTTTGTTATTTTCATGTTGTTGTAAAATTCTTATTCTTTACTCTATTAAGTTTGAAGAGATGAAGATTTCTCTGTGTGTACAGTGGACCCTCGGGTAATGCCTTTAATCCATTCCAGAGAGCTAGCCAAAAGTATTAACCCTTTGAGGGTTTTGGTCGTACTAGTACGTCTTACGTGTAGGGGTTTTTGACGTACTGGTACTCATAAATTCTAGCGGCCTCAAATCTAGTGGGAGAAAGCTGGTAGGCCTTCATATGAAAGAATGGGTCTATGTGGTCAGTGTGCACAGTCTAAAAAAAATCCTGCAGCACACAGTGCATAATGAGAAAAAAAAACTTTGACCATTTTTTTGGAATAAATTAGCGACTTTGCAGTGTATTTTCGTATGGTATTTATTGTTGTATTCTAGTTTTCTTGGTCTCATTTTATAGAATGGAAGACATATTACAGAAATTGAGATGATTTTGACTGGTTTTACAATGAAAGGTGCCTTGAAATTGAGCTCAAAGTAGCAGAAATGTTCGATTTTTACCAAACTTCAAAGTAAACAAATCGTGCCAAGCGTGTAATACACGTCAACTGGTGAGTCTAATATTCTTTCACAAGTGCACCAATAATATTTATACCATTTTTTACACTAATGCAGTAGTCTGCATAACAGTAAATCTTATATTTTTTGTGAAAATAAAAATTCAAAGTGGAAAGCAAAAGAATATAAGAGGGGCCTTGAGACGTGACTAATGACTAGAGGAAATGTCATTTTAGTGCCAGGAATGTCTTTCTTGTTTATTCTGGACCCTATTCGGAAATTGGCATCTTTTGAAATTTGTGTGAAATTGGCAAAATTGCTAAATTCTGACCACTGTACTGGATAGTTGAATTTCATAAATGGGTGGTTTCTTGCACCCATTCGATAGAAAAAATGGAGTTCTAGCGAAATATTCATGTTTTTTGTCGACTAGTACAGTGAAATTGGCCGAAAATGGGGCTCAAAATGGGCAAAATCGCCGATGCGTAAACATCGCCGAGACCGCTAACTTTGCAAGAGCATAATTCCGTAAGTTTTCTATCAAATTTCAAACTTTTGGTGTCTTTATGATCGGGAAAAGATTCTCTATCTTTTCATAAGAGAAAATAATTTTTTTTTTTAAATTTGGCCGACCCTGAGAACGAGTTTCGGAGAGGGCCTGTCGACCCTCAAAGGGTTAAACAAAATAATTTTTTTACATGAAATATACATTTCCCTACACAGAAAACAATGATACATGCACAATAAACAATACTGAAATGACACTTACCTTTATTGTGGACTTGTTGATGAGTGATGAGACGGGAGGAGGGGAGAGAATGAAGGTGTTCTATTGTTTGGAAGGGGAATCCCCTTCCATAAAGACTTCAGGTAACAAGTCCTTTTCTGGGGTTACCTCCCTTCTTGGTTTTTTAATGCCACTATGACCAGCTTGAGTCAGTGGACCCCTGTCACACAGAATATCTGTCCAGAGAGCTCTGTTTCTCACATCCCTTCAAGATTTCCCTAAAATGGGACACGAGTGTCATTGTACATGTTGCTAATACGGCTTGCAACAGCTGTTTCAGGATAATATTCATCCATAAATGCTTCCAACTTTGTCCACATTATACACATTTCCTTAATCTTTGACGAAAGCAACTTCCTCAATCTCTCTTCCTCCTCCTCTGAAGCAAATTCCTGAGCTGCGATCTGTTGCTGTTGCACCTGAAGCTCTTGCAGCTCTGTAGTGGTTAGCTCTTCGTCGTTGTCCTCCACCAACGCTTCCACATCCTCAGCACTAACCTCCAACCCCATGAACTTCCCCAATGCCACAGTAGATTCCACAACTGGCATAGTCTCCTGAGGGTTAGCCCCAAACCTTTCAAAATCCCTCTTGTACACATTGTGGCCACAATTTTCTCCAAGCAGAGTTCAAAGTCCTGCAAGTCACTCCCTCCCTTACCTATAAGGTTTATGCAACTGAGGATACTGAAGTTATCTTTCCAGAACTCTCTTAGTGTCAATTCAAAGCACTTTTGAAACACTGCTTTGGTGTACAGTGTTTTGAAGTTTGAAATGACCTGCTGGTCCATGGGCTGGAGGAGAGGAGTGATATCAGGAGGCAAAAACTTCACTTTGATAAAGCTCAACTCCCCCGCAATTTGCTCTTGCAAGTCGTGAAGATGAGCAGGAGCATTGTCCATTACCAGGAGGCACTTGAGTGACAATTTATTTTCCAAGAGGTACTTTTTCACAGTGGGGCCAAACATGTCATGCAACCAGTCAAGGAAAATGCCCCTAGTGCCCAATGCCTTACTGTTTTCTCTCCACATCACACACAATTTAGTCTTAACTACATTGTTTTTCTTGAACACACTGGGAGTTTCACAGTGATACACAAGTAAAGGCTTCACTTTGCAATCCCCACTAGCATTACTACAAAACATGAGAGTTAGCCTGTCTTTCATAGGTTTGTGTCCTGCGAGTGCCTTTTCCTCCTGTTTGGCATTTTCTTCCAAAATAGGCCTGTTCTGTCACAGTTGAACAGTTGTTGGGGTTTTAATTTTTCAGCCTCTGTGTACCCCTTTAAGTCCTGCACATATTTTTTTCAGCTAATTTTTTGTCAAAACTGGCAACCTCGCCATGCCTTATCACACTGTGTATGCCACTACGATTGTTAAATCTCTCAAACCAGCCTTTGCTGTCCTTAAATTCATCAATAGCAGCACTATTTGGAAGCATTTTCTTAATGAGATCTGCATGCAACTCCTTGCCTTTTCACATGTTATTTACTGAGAAACTATCTCCTGATAATTTTTTCTCGTTGATCCACACGAACAACAGTCTCTCTACATTTTCAAGTATTTGCAATCTCTGTTTTGTAAGCATACTTGCACCTTTCACAACAACAGCTTTCTTGATTGCCTTTTTGTTGACTAAGATAGTAATGATGGTTGAATGGGGTTTGTTATATAACCTTTCCAACTCCAGTATACACACTCCACTCTTGTACTTCACGATTATCTCTTTTTAATTCAATAGTATTTCTCACCCTTTTTACCACAGGGTTGGCACTAGAAGCTTTCTTGGGGCCCATGGTTTATTGAGCAGTTACAAGCTCTAAAAAAAATGGAATAATACAAAATATATTGCATGTGCATGTGGAAATATCCTCACTGGTTTGTAAACAATGGCACACTGGCTGTATAAGGAGTCGTGGAGTGGCCGGGCCCACTCAGGCCGCACAGACACGTTCAGGATGAAAGCCCTTAACCGAGTTATTTGCCATTAGCCGAGCCAATATTTTTACACCAAAGCGTGCCTTTATCCGATTTTGGTGCTAACCTGTGACGCCTTTACCCGAGGGCCCACTACATATATTTTTTTAAATCTTCATCAACAAATGAGTTTGGAACATTCAGTATCGAGATAATGCTGAGCATCTTAAAACATGTGAAAACTCTCTATCTGTTTATATTTAGAATGTTCCTTCAGACATACTCTGAAAAAGTGGCAGTAAAACATCACTTAAATGAATAGGTGCCGAGACGGCATGGCCAAACACAGGCGTTTACATTACAATGGTTTCAGTATCTGTTTTTATATTTTTTTTTCTTTTTAACAAGTCGGCCGTCTCCCACCGAGGCAGGGTGACCCAAAAAGAAAGAAAATCCCCAAAAAGAAAGTACTTTCATCATCATTCAACACTTTCACCTCACACATAATCACTATTTTTGCAGAGGTGCTCAGAACACAAAAGTTTAGAAACATATACGTATAAAGATACACAACATATCCCTCCAAACTGCTAATATCCCGAACCCCTCCTTTAGAGTGCAGGCATTGTACTTCCCATTTCCAGGACTCAAGACCGGCTATACAAAAATAACCGGTTTCCCTGAATCCCTTCACTAAATATTACCCTGCTCACACTCCAACAGATCGTAAGGTCCCAAATACCATTCACCTCCATTCACTCCTATCGAACACGCTCATGCACGCCTACTGGAAGTCCAAGCCCCTCGCCCACAAAACCTCCCTTACCCCTTCCTTCCAACATTTTTGAGGACGACCCCTACCCTGCCTTCCTTCCCCTACAGATTTATATGCTCTCCATGTCATTCTACTTTGATCCATTCTCTCTAAATGACCAAACCACCTCAACAACCCCTCTTCAGCCCTCTGACTAATACTTTTATTAACTCCACACCTTCTCCTAATTTCCACACTCCGAATTTTCTGCATAATATTTACACCACACATTGCCCTTAGACAGGACATCTCCACTGCTTCCAACCACCTGCTCGCTGCTGCATTCACAACCCAAGCTTCACACCCATATAAAAGTGTTGGTACTACTATACTTTCATACATTCCCTTCTTTGCCTCCATAGATAACGTTTTTTTGTTTCCACGTATACTTCAACGCACCACTCACCTTTTTTTCCTCATCAATTCTATGATTAACCTCATCCTTCATAAATCCATCTGCCGACACGTCAACTCCCAAGTATCTGAAAACATTCACTTCTTCCATACTCCTCTTCCCCAATGTGATATCCAATTTTTCTGTATCTAAATCATTTGATACCCTCATCACCTTATTCTTTTCTATGTTCACTTTCAACTTATTAACTTTACACTCGCTCCCAAACTCATCCACTAACCTTTGCAATTTTCTTTAGAATCTCCCATAAGTACAGTATCATCAGCAAAAAGCAACTGTGTCAGTTCCCATTTTGTATTTAATTCCCCATAATTTAATCCCAGTCCTCTTCTGAATACCCTAGCATTTACTTCTTTTACAACCCCATCTATAAATATATTAAACAACCATGGTGACATTACACATCCCTGTCTAAGACCTACTTTTACTGGGAAGTAGTCTCCCTCTCTTCTACACACCCTAACCTGAGCCTCATTATCCTCATAAAAACTCTTTACAGCATTTAGTAACTTACCACCTATTTCATATACTTGCAATATCTGCCACATTGCTCCCCTATCCACACTATCATATGCCTTTTCTAAATCCATAATTGCAATAAAAACTTCCCTACCTTTATCTAAATACTATTTACATATAGGTAGTAGGTTGGTAGACAGCAACCACCCAGGGAAGTACTACTGTCCTGCCAGATGACTGTGAAACATAAACCTGTAACTGTTGTACATGATAGTAGGATTGCTGGTGTCTTTTTCTGTCTCATAAACATGCTAGGTAACAGGGATATCTTGCTACTCCTACTTACACTTTGATCACACTTCAGACACGCACATGCATATATATATATACATACATCTAGGTTTTTCTCCTTTTTCTAAATAGCTCTTGTTCTTCTTTATTTCTTCTATTGTCCATGGGGAAGTGGAGAAGAATCTTTTCTCCGTAAGCCATGCATGTCGTATGAGGCGACTAAAATGCCGGGAGCAATGGGCTAGTATCCCCTTCTCCTGTAAACATTTACTAAAAAAGAGAAGAAGAAAAACTTTATAAAACTGGGATGCTTGAGTGTGCGTGGATGTAGTGTGGATGACAAGAAACAGATGATTCCTGATGTTATGAATGAAAAGAAGTTGGATGTCCTGGCCCTAAGCGAAACAAAGCTGAAGGGGCTAGGGGAGTTTTGGTGGGGGGAAATAACTGGGATTAAATCTGGAGTATCTGAGAGAGTTAGAGCTAAGGAAGGGGTAGCAATAATGTTGAAGGATCAGTTATGGAAGGAGAAAAGAGAATATGAAAGTGTAAATTCAAGGATTATGTGGATTAAAGTAAAGGTTGGATGCAAAAAGTGGGTCATAATAAGTGTGTATGCACCTGGAGAAGAGAGGAATGTAGGGGAGAGAGATTTTGGGAGATGTTAAGTGAATGTATAGGAACCTTTGAGCCAAGTGAGAGAGTAATTGTGGTAGGGGACCTGAATGCTAAAGTAGGAGAAACTTTTAGAGAGGGTGTGGTAGGTAAGTTTGGGGTGCCAGGTGTAAATGATAATGGGAGCCCTTTGATTGAACTTTGCATAGAAAGGGGTTTAGTTATAGGTAATACATATTTTAAGAAAAAGAGGATAAATAAGTATACAAGATATGATGTAGGGCAAAATGACAGTAGTTTGTTGGATTATGTATTGGTAGATAAAAGACTGGTGAGTAGACTTCAGGATGTACATGTTTATAGAGGAGCCACAGATATATCAGATCACTTTCTAGTTGTAGCAACACTGAGAGTAAAAGGTAGATGGGATACAAGGAGAATAGAAGCATCAGGGAAGAGAGAGGTGAAGGTTTATAAACTAAAAGAGGAGGCAGTTAGGGAAAGATATAAACAGCTATTGGAGGATAGATGGGCTAATGAGAGCATAGGCAATGGGGTCGAAGAGGTATGGGGTAGGTTTAAAAATGTAGTGTTAGAGTGTTCAGCAGAAGTTTGTGGTTACAGGAAAGTGGGTGCGGGAGGGAAGAGGAGCGATTGGTGGAATGATGATGTAAAGAGAGTAGTAAGGGAGAAAAAGTTAGCATATGAGAGGTTTTTACAAAGTAGAAGTGATGCAAGGAGGGAAGAGAATATGGAGAAAAAGAGAGAGGTTAAGAGAGTGGTGAAGCAATGTAAAAAGAGAGCAAATGAGAGAGTGGGTGAGATGCTATCAACAAATTTTGTTGAAAATAAGAAAAAGTTTTGGAGTGAGATTAACAAGTTAAGGAAGCCTAGAGAACAAATGGATTTGTCAGTTAAAAATAGGAGAGGAGAGTTATTAAATGGAGAGTTAGAGGTATTGGGAAGATGGAGGGAATATTTTGAGGAATTGTTAAATGTTGATGAAGATAGGGAAGCTGTGATTTCGTGTATAGGGCAAGGAGGAATAACATCTTGTAGGAGTGAGGAAGAGCCAGTTGTGAGTGTGGGGGGAAGTTCGTGAGGCAGTAGGTAAAATGAAAGGGGGTAAGGCAGCCGGGATTGATGGGATAAAGATAGAAATGTTAAAAGCAGGTGGGGATATAGTTTTGGAGTGGTTGGTGCAATTATTTAATAAATGTATGGAAGAGGGTAAGGTACCAAGGGATTGGCAGAGAGCATGCATAGTTCCTTTGTATAAAGGCAAAGGGGACAAACGAGAGTGCAAAAATTATAGGGGGATAAGTCTGTTGAGTATACCTGGTAAAGTGTATGGTAGAGTTATTATTGAAAGAATTTAAAGTAAGACTGAGAATAGGATAGCAGATGAACAAGGAGGCTTTAGGAAAGGTAGGGGGTGTGTGGACCAGGTGTTTACAGTGAAACATATAAGTGAACAGTATTTAGATAAGGCTAAAGATGTTTTTGTGGCATTTATGGATTTGGAAAAGGCGTATGACAGGGTGGATAGGGGGGCAATGTGGCAGATGTTGCAGGTGTATGGTATAGGAGGTAGGTTACTGAAAGCAGTGAAGAGTTTTTACGAGGATAGTGAGGCTCAAGTTAGAGTATGTAGGAAAGAGGGAGATTATTTCCCAGTAAAAGTAGGCCTTAGACAAGGATGTGTGATGTCACCGTGGTTGTTTAATATATTTATAGATGGGGTTGTAAGAGAAGTAAATGCGAGGGTCTTGGCAAGAGGCGTGGAGTTAAAAGATAAATAATCACACATAAAGTGGGAGTTGTCACAGTTGCTCTTTGCTGATGACACTGCTCTTGGGAGATTCTGAAGAGAAGTTGCAGAGGTTGGTGGATGAATTTGATAGGGTATGTAAAAGAAGAAAATTAAAAGTGAATACTGGAAAGAGTAAGGTTATGAGGATGAAAAGATTAGGTGATGAAAGATTGGATATCAGCTTGGAGGGAGAGAGTATGGAGGAGGTAAATGTATTCAGATATTATGGAGTGGACGTGTCAGCGGATGGGTCTGTGAAAGATGAGGTGAATCATATAATTGATGAGGGGAAAAGGGTGAGCGGTGCACTTAGGAGTCTTTGGAGACAAAGAACTTTGTCCTTGGAGGCAAAGAGGAGAATGTATGAGAGTATAGTTTTACCAACGCTCTTATATGGGTGTGAAGCATGGGTGATGAATGTTGCAGCGAGGAGAAGGCTGGAGGCAGTGGAGATGTCATGTCTGAGGGCAATGTGTGGTGTTAATATAATGCAGACAATTCGTAGTTTGGAAGTTAGGAGGAGGTGCGGGATTGCCAAAACTGTTGTCCAGAGGGCTTAGGAAGGGTTGTTGAGGTTGTTCGGACATGTAGAAAGAATGGAGTGAAACAGAATGACTTCAAGAGTGTATCAGTCTGTAGTGGAAGGAAAGCAGGGTAGGGGTCGGCCTAGGAAAGGTTGGAGGGAGGGGGTAAAGGAGGATTTGTGTGCGAGGGGCTTGGACTTCCAGCGGGCATGCGTGAGCTTGTTTGATAGGAGTGAATGGAGACAAATGGTTTTTAATACTTGATGTGCTGCTAGAGTGTGAGCAAAGTAACATTTATGAAGGGATTCAGGGAAACCAGCAGGCCGGACTTGAGTCCTGGAGATGGGAAGTACAGTGCCTGCACTCTGAAGGAGGGGTGTTAATGTTGCAGTTTAAAAACTGTAGTGTAAAGCACCCTTCTGGCAAGACAGTGATGGAGTGAATGATGGTGAAAGTTTTTCTTTTTCGGGCCACCCTGCCTTGGTGGGAATCGGCCAGTGTGATAATAAAAAATAAAAAAAATATTAAATTAGTTATATATAAATTTTGTTTAAGCATTTTCCTGTGTTCTCATGAAAATGTATCAATTATGCTATTATTTTCTCTAGTATTGTCAATTTTCTTTAATGTTTTTTAAACTAATGATATTCCTTGATTTTCATTTCCTAGTTTAATAAATTTTCTACTTTTAATATTCTGTCAATCAGTCATTTTTAATAACTGGTTATATCTTGTTTCAGAATAGATGAATGTGGATATAATAAATCCTTACTAAGTAAGGAAATAGATGAATTGGAATCCTGCCTCACAGGGCTTGGATGCCCAGTGGTCTTTTCACACAATGACATCCTTCTGGCAAATGTTATTTGGAATAAAGCATCCCAAAAAGTGGGTTTCATAGACTATGAATATGGAGGAGCTAATTATCAAGCATTTGATATTGGCAATCATTTCAACGAGTTTGCTGGTATGTAAAAAAAGTACAGTAATGGCATTAACTGAATGTGTGACAGTGATAGTATTTTCTTCTTTGTCAGGTCATGCTGTCTCATTGGGAGATAAAAGCAGGAAGAATGTAATACCAGTATTTAAATTTTTTTTTTCAACATGTCGGCCATCTCCCACCGAAGCAGGGTGACCCAAAAAGAAAGAAAAAACCCAAAAAGAAAGGAAAAACTTCATCATCATCATTCAACACTTTCACCATCACTCATACATAATCACTGTCTTTGCAGAGGCGCTCAGATACGAATGTTTAGACGTCCCTCCAAACTGCCAATATCCTAAACCCGTCCTTTAAAGTGCAGGCATCGTACTTCCCATTTCCAGGACTCAAGTCCAGCTAACCAGTTTCCCTGAATCCCTTCACACTCCAACAGCCTGTCTGGTCCCAAAAACCATTCATCTCCATTCACTCCTAACACACTTGCATACACTTCCTGGAAGTCAAAGCCCCTCGCCCACAAAACCTCATTTACCCCCTCCCTCCAACCTTTTCAGGTATGACCACTATCCTGCCTTCCTTCCCCAGCAGATTTATATACTCTCCAATTCATTCTACAGTGGAACCTTGGTTTTCGTTTTTAATCCGTTCCAGAGAGTCAGACGAAAACTGAAGCAATATTTCCCATAAGAAATAATGTAAATCCAGTTAATCCGTTCCAGACACCTAAAAGGATTAACAAAAAATACATTTTATAGAGAATAAATAAGTTTTACATACAGAAAACAGTGAGAAATAAATATAAATGACTAATTTTAATGATAAATGAACATTTAACATTACACTTACTATTATTAAAGACTCTTGCTGGCATATGGAATATGGCGAGGACAGGAGAGGAAAGAGAAGTTATTGTTTGGAAGGGGAATCCCCTTCCATAAGGACTTCAGGTATGAAGTCTCTATCCAGGGTTTCTTCCCTCTTTGTCTTTAACTGGCACTAGGACCAGCTTCAGAGTCACTGTACCCCTGCCTCCCATAAAATCTGTCCAGAGAGCTCTGTTTCTGGTGTGTCTTTAAGATTTGCCCAAAATGGGACAAAGCATTGTTAATGAACATGTTGCAGGCATGGCCTGCAACAGCTTTGTTAGGGTGATATTTCTCCACAAACCTTTACACCTCTCTCCATGACAGTTTGCGATCTCTGTTTTGTTAGCACACTCACCCCTTTCGCCACATCAGCTTCCTTGATTTCTTTTTTCTTTGCCAGGATGGAACTGATTGTTGATGAGAACTTTCCGTACATCCTGGCGAGATCTACCACATGTATGCCACTTTCGTACTTTTCAACAAGTTCTTTCTTGAATTCTATTGTGTTTCTCACCTTCTTTATCAAAGGACTGGCACTCAGAACTTTCTTTGGCCCCATGGTGGGTTATTTAGCAGTCACACAATAAACAAGCACAGAAAACAATAGATTATGTAAGCAAAACATACCACAGGTGGGGTTTGAACCCGCAGTCAGAGAGTCTCAAAACTCCAGACTGTTGCATTAGCTAATGCGATGGTCTGGAGTTTTGAGACTGACCGCCGGTTCAAACCCCACCCGTGGTATGGTTTGTTTGCAATCGTGTCATTACGATTTCGCGAGTCAATAGATTATGTATTATGAAATGTTTCATAGGAACGCACAGGGTAATGTTCAATCGCCGAGAAACAATGCCACACTGACTCAGAATCCATGTGTGGGAGTCTGTGTGTGCACGGCAGGCAGACACGTTTGATATGGTAGATGAAATCTGAGGTGAGGAACAAAAATGGAGACAATATTTTGATGAAAAAATTCGTCGATAACCGAAATAGACAAAAACGGGGGGCAAACGAAAACTGAGGTTCCACTGTGCTTTGCTCTATTCTTTCTAAATGATCAAACCACCTCAACAGCCCCTCTTCAGCCTTCTGACTAATACTTTTAGTAACTCCACACCTAATTTCCACACTACGAATTCTCTGTATAATATTTACTCCACGCATTGCCCTTAGACACGACATCTCCAATGCCTCCAGCCGCCTCCTGTCTGCAGCATTTATGACCCATGCTTCACATCCATATAAGAATGTTGGTATCCCTATACTGTACTCTCATACATTCCCTTCTTTGCCCTCATGGATAATGATCTTTGTCTCCACAGATACCTCAATGCACTACTCGCCTTTTTTCCTTCATCAATTCTAGGGTTTACCTTATCCTTCATAAACCCATCCGCTGACACGTCTGCTGACACAGTAGATGTAAGACTGCTATCCCCGATTCAGAGCAAGCTCATGCTCTCTCCTGCATCACTTCGATAGATAACATACCAGTCACCATTTGTAAGCACGCTACTCTTAATTCTTGCAGTGGTACTGTGCTCTTGCCACGACTGTTGTACAGAGTGATTTTTTTGTCTTGCGGTGAGGATGTTTTAGAGCAACCCTTCAGAACCTCCCTATCCTCAAGGTAGATACGTACATCCTATACACAAATAACCCGCACATAAAAGAGAGAAGCTTACGACGACGTTTCGGTCCGACTTGAACCATTGACAAAGTCACACTGTGACTTTGTCAATGGTCCAAGTCGGACCGAAACGTCGTCGTAAGCTTCTCTCTTTTATGTGCGGGTTATTTGTGTATCGTTCCAGTCACGGTATTGTGCCTTTTTGTTATTTACGTACATCCTGCCTGCTTTGTGCGGAGGTGCTTTCCTATTAACATTGCTTGTTTAACCTTCGACTGCCGTGAGCTTCCGTCCTCTGTCTTTATTGTGGGCCATCGTCTTGAGGTCCTTCAAGTTGTTCTCACTCCCCAACAATGTTGTAATTGCTGGCATTTCGGACACCCCACTAAACAATACAGATCTGCGGCGGAATGCCTGGTCTGCGGTGCAGCAGATCATTCCAATACGTCATGTAGTCTTCCCCCATCTTGTCTTAATTGCAAGGAGCCTCGTCCTTCCTTTTCACGCTGTTCCCAGGTTTATCATAATGAACGAGAGATCCGTTATCTTAAGGAGCGTGAGGGCCTCACTTACACTATGGCTGTCTCTCAGCTCTGCCTTCAAGGTAAACTCCCTCGTGTCCTGTATGCTTGGGTAGCCCAAAGACCTCCAACCTCAACGGTCCTCCCACCTCTCAATCCCTCTGCATCTGTGTCTTCCGGGGTTGCCCCAGTTTCTAATTCTTTTGCAGTTTTATCCCCTGACACTCCTATCTCCGCACCACTTCCTCCTCCTACTTCATCTCACTCGCTTGCTTCTCAATCTATGAAACCTCGCAGACCTGCACTTTCTTCTCGTCCATCACCTGCACAAAATATATCTCCTACCTCGGAGCCTCGTTCTCACCTTCTTTCCAGCTCTCACACGAAGGTAGAGGTTCACCCTCTCCCTCATGTAGTCTCTTCTTCTTTTGTTACCCCCCTGTCTTCCTCCATAATTACCCTCCAGCCTCCTTTACACTGCAGGCCTCTTCTACCCCAGCTGACGCATCTCTCCAGGTTCATACTCCCTGCCCCCCCTCAGACCTATATGGTTACCTTTGTAGTTCCTCTGACCTTTCCTTGCAATGCCTCTCCTGTCTCTGACATCATGGCATCGTCAGCTTCCTTAACAACTGAGACGTTAGATGCTATTTCCAGCTATATTGCAGGGACGACACCTCCGATGGACACCGGGATTCCCTCTACCCCTTCTATTTCACGACCCTCACAACAATCTATTCCTCCACAACATTCACATTCTTCCTTGCTTACATGCTTACCGTTACCCGCACACATTGACTTTACAGATCCTAATAGTCCATAGGTTTTATCGTTTCTTATTGTTGCCAATTTTATTTCTGTACATAATGTCTTTTTTACAATGGAATATTCGTGGCCTTAGAGGCAATCAGGGAGAACTCCAAGTGTTGCTCTCCCAGTTGTCTCCAGTATGTGTTGGATTGCAAGAGCCCAAAATTAATTTTGCTGTCATTCGCCTCATTTCGGGCTACAAGCTATTACATTCTTCAGATCCTTTACCCGATGAATCATTTAATAAAAGGGCTCTTGTGCATGTTGGTATACCGTATCAGCAAGTTTTTATTCATTCCCCACTGCATTATACTGCAGCTTGGATTTATTTACACAGGTGGTTTACAGTTTGCTCTCTCTATCTTTCTCCCTCCTGTGCATTCTGTATCTCTGATATCGCATTTTTAATTTCTTCTCTACCGCCGCCCATCTTGCTGTTGGGTGACTTCAACGCTCACCATCACCTGTGGGGAGGGTCCCACTGCGACTCTCATGGTGATCAATTGGAGACTCTTCTCGCTTCTCACCCTCTTCATATTTTGAATACAGGTGCTCCTACCCATTTTGACTCTCGCACACAGTCTCTCTCTCCTGCATTGATCTTTCCATCTGTTCCTCACCCATCGCACTTGATTTAAAGAGAGAAATAAAAAAGGGAATTAGAAAAGCAAAAAGAGATTATGAGGTTAAAGTTGCAAGAGAATCGAAGACTAACCCAAAAGGATTCTTTCAGGTATACAGAAGTAAGATCAGGGACAAGATAGGCCCACTCAAAAGTTCCTCGGGTCAGCTCACTGACAGTGATAAGGAAATGTGTAGAATTTTTAACACATACTTCCTCTCAGTTTTTACACAGGAGGATACCAGCGATATTCCAGTAATGATAAATTATGTAGAACAGGACGATAATAAACTGTGTACTATTAGGGTCACAAGTGACATGGTCCTTAGGCAAATAGATAAATTAAAACCTAACAAATCCCCAGGCCCTGATGAACTGTATGCAAGGGTTCTAAAGGAATGTAAAGAGGAGCTTAGCACACCTTTGGCTAATCTTTTCAACATATCACTACAAACTGGCATGGTGCCAGATAAGTGGAAAATGGCAAATGTGATACCTATTTTCAAAACAGGTGACAGGTCCTTAGCTTCGAACTATAGACCAATAAGCCTAACCTCCATAGTGGGAAAATT